TTTAGTGCTATTACTATGTTCAAGGATATTGAGAAAAAAAGGAAAAGAACCAGGGCGGATGAAGTTCCAGAAGGAGAAAAGAAAGGTGTCATCATTTGTCGTTATTGTCCTCAATCTTTTACACGAAGAAATTGTTATCAAAATCATTTAACAAACCATAAAAATATAGTTTATGTAGAAGAAAACTAACTTCAAATGCTTTTGAAAGAAACTAGAGTCTTGACAAACACTCAGTCTGTAAGAGAACGAACATCTCTATCTAGTATCTTTTATAGCAACGCTAATGAAGCTGATAGAAATCATAGAACTAGTAAAACTAGTAATTATAAAAATGAAACTAGTGAAATTAATCTTGAACATGTTCAACAAGACTAGGACGATACAGAGATATTTGAGGTTGTATATGCTATTATGATTTTATGTAATATGGGCTGGTTGTATAGAATTTTTTTTTAAATAAAAAGTTTTGATTTTTCTAAAAACATATATTTTATAGTGTTTTTTTTTTTTAAAGTATTCCAAGTACTCGGCTTACCGTTATTACTTTATCCAATTATAGAATGAAGTATGGAAAATTAATATTGAAGAAAATTCTCTGATAATCGATATGTGCTCTGTGCAATGTTTGTGTGCAACTACTGTATATCGACCTCCAACATTTCCACATCCAGCATATACACAATTTATGGAAATAGTGATGAAATATCATCTACCAAATAGTGTAGGTAATGAACTTATCAGTTGGTTTAATAAATACAAAATGGACCTACATGCTGTTCTGCCTACTAATATAAAACAAGGTCACATATTGCTCGATTCAATGAATATTTCACACATATTATATACCAAGACAGTTATCATGAAGCATAATGGTACTAAATATGTGCTACATTACAGACCACTCTTCAATGCAATTAAAGAGCTATTAAGCAATCCTGATATATTTAAACATTACATTTTTGACTACACACCAAGATTTATCACCAATGACAAAGACGAATTTGGACATTGCTATGGGGAGCAGTTTAGTGAAAGGTAGTGAGATCAGGCCCAGGCATCGATTAACAGATATGCAAAAATTATATCTATTATTCTTTATTCGGATGCCACAACATGTGATACATTAGAAAAAGTATCTGAACACCCAGTGTATCTAATGTTAGAAAATATTCCCATTTGGCGTCGCAATAAACCTGATGCTAAAGCATTGGTAGCATATCTACCAACTTTAAAGTGCTCTGAAAATCAAAAAAAACACTACAACCTGCCTTGTTTAAATGTTAACTTTTCCATCACTTAATAGAAATTCTTTTTGAACCAATAAAATCAAAATCTACAAGTGGTGTTGAATTACATACGAATGGTGGCCTATTTTGATGTTATCCGTTTTTGTCACAGATATTGGGTGATCTGCCTGAACATTTGATTATGACATTGACATACAACTCAGTAAACTGCAATATGCCATGCTATTTTTGCTTAACTCCCAAAGAACAATTTAATAACCCATTGATTAATTCTGAATCTATTATTTTACATACACCAAAAACAATAAAACAGGTAATTAAGCAAAATCAGGCCAAAGAATATTCAATACAAGACATGGAAAATCCTTTTTGGAGTCTTCCGTATGTATTAATATATGTAGTATCGGTATACTGTATATCGATATATATATTTATATTAATACTGTATATACTGTATATATTAATATATATACTGTATATAAATAATAACTATATATATTATTAATATCTACTTAATTGTATTTTTTAGAAATTTTAATGTTTATCAATCATGCTTACCTGATCGAATGCACTATCTCGATTTAGGTTTATATAATTATCAAGTAACATTTATACAAGATTTGTTAAAGGAATGGTGTGGGCTAGCCGAAATTGCAGAATTTGATATCAGGTTAGCAAAAATCCTGCAATTTCCAGGTCTCAAATTGTTTAACAAGGGGTTAGGCAACATTAAACGGTTCACTGCAACAGAGTTTTGTGCAATGATGCAACAACTAGTTTTTGTAATTGATGGAATAATTGTTAAGCTTTATAAAGACATTTATACTACGAATCAGGCTAAGAATATGAACAAACAACTAGTAACCTTGTACATTGATTGGAATCGAATGTATATTTTTTCACGGAAAGATGAATTTAGCGAATCAGAATTGTATACATTTAAGGTATATACGTATATACGTATGTTTATAAAATACAGTGTATATGCATAATTAAATAAAATTTCTCATTCTGTAGTCTTTAATTACAAGATGGGCCGAAGGATTTATTAAACTCTTTTCAACATTTTCTAAATCTAATTTACAACTTCCAAAATTGCACAATTGAACATGTTACATAATTTCTTCAATCAGAAAATTTGGTGCAATTAATGGTTTTTCCACTGAAACGTACGAGTCTTTGCACAAAGAATGTGTCAAAAATCCTTACCAAATGAGTAATAGATGAACGCCAGTTGATCAAATGTTAAAAACTGTATATAAATTATTTATTTTAAGAATAATTTATTTAAAAATAAACTAAAAATAGTTATTATTAATTTAGGTACGGTGTCAATATATTCTTAAATACTTGAATCAACTAAAGAAGCCGATAACAAGCAATAATAAATTACCTCCATATTTATTAATCGGTAATCATACAAGATTTGAATTATCATTATTTGAAGATTTTGTAAATTCACACAATGCAACACATTAGCCGGCTTTAGAAGTTTTGGATGCTCTGAACCATTTTCTACTAGCATTATATGAATTTTTGAACCTTTGTGAAGATTTAACAAGCGCAAATATATGAAATAGAACAATATTTGTTGATTGGTACAATTCAGCCATGAGCGCAAATAGAGATACAATTTGGGCAATATCTAACTATTACAATAATACACAGTTTGATAATGTTTCAATTAATATGAATATCGAAGAAGTAGAGCAATACAATACTGATAATGGTGCATGATTTGCGAAAGTATTATGATTATTATTATATTTTGTACGTATCACAAAATTTGATATGTTCAATATTAACTTATCGTTTATAATTTTAGGTTTTAATTCTTTGTTCAATAAGCATTTCAGAATTAGAAAACCCATTTGATTTAGCTCTTGTTTGCTGGTATGATTTCAAATATCCGAATCTTTCAAATAAGTTGTATAAATATTGTTGTCCTTGGATACAATTTATACATTTGTTCCGGTTGAATCTCTGATAGAATTAGTTCACGTAGTGCCACGTTTCAATAGTATTAATGAATATTTAGTTAATACATTCATTTTTTAATAGTAGTATAAGAAATTCAAATATAGGCGATTTTCGCTATTTAGCATTAAAATATATCAGATAGCAATATTGCTATTTATTGATAATATTTTTACTTAAGGCCATGCAAAATTAATTAATTGGTTTTCATAACCCGGCCGGGTCAAAATTTGAAAATTTCAAAAAAAAAATT